AGTTCAATCACACATAGATCCTCAAATAGTTGAGATTCAAAATATTTATGATGGTGGTAGAATTGAATTCACAACTGAAGAACTATCACCATTAAATGATTCAGTTGTTTATTTATCAGAAAGTCATTATATGATTGATAATTCAGGTGAGTAAGTATGTAGTTAACAAAGCTGGGCATTTGAATAAATTTTAGCCACTGAGTAAATTACAATAAATTTACTAAATTCAGTAACTTAATTAAGTCACAAGTTTGAAAATCAAGAAAAGTGGAGGTTTATGAAAAAGGTGGCCGACCCCAAATAGTTGGAAGGAAAGAGAAGGCCAAGAAGAAGACTGCTTACTGGTTTTTTAATTTTTAACTAATACTAATTCCCGGTTTTGATAATTTACATGCATTTTTTTTTTAAATTAATGAATTAATTTTCTTGTTAATTTATAATTTATGATTATTTTATATGTGTCAGTAGGTACAAGCACTGAACCAAATTTTAGTACATACAGAATAGTGAATTCTGATCAAAATTTAAATAGTGACAACTGTTATAAAGAAACTGTTCAAAATCTCCAATCCTCTAGTCCTCATCCTCATACATCTACCGTTGAAAATGATCCTTACATAATGGTATATTTACAACTCATATTCCTATCCTAATTTTATTGGAAAGTTGACCAGACATCTTAGATTAGAAAGATTTTTTGAGTTTTTTAAACTACATTTTGATTTTTGAACTTTTCTAGTTTAGCACTTTTGTCCAACATTTACATTTAATAAAAGTTAATTAATTAGATTAATTTTAGTCATTATTTACTTATAAGTAATAACTAATAAAGTACTTAATACTTAAATAAAAAAAAGTTTTATTATGAATGTTTTTAACATAATATAATTTCATTTTACATTATTTAAAATATAAATTTTAAAACTGTAGTTTGTAGTTAATTTTATGAAAAATTTTCTGATTAGACTTCAATATTTCCTTATAAATTAGTATTTTCTGGTCACTTTGTGATTCTATCTATTTTTCTTTTTAGTTCCTTTAACATCCAAGGTAAACAAAAGTAAAAAATCTATAAAGATGATGGTAAGTGACGAAGCCAGTTTAAGAATTAAAAAACTAAAGTCAAGTTACGAAAGCGATACAACATTGAACAAGTTACATGTATGTTAATTGTATTAGGTACAATCGGAAGTATATCAGTATTTCTAGGATAGAAGTAAGTATTTGATGCATTAAAAATGTCAGCATAAATCGCTGATTTTTAAGTGTTTATAATATCAAAATTATAAATTTGTTAAAAATGAAAATAAACACTATTGAAATTATTTTTATCAACATATTGAATAGGTATCATGTTTATAGTACTCACGTTATTCAGTATTTTTTTTTTTAAGATTTAACATTCAATTTATTAAAACAACACAATTATTTAATTTTTTATTTGACATGTTTATTATTATAATATTTCATTTTTATTTTAATATCTAGTACTTTCAATTAATAATACAATAAATTTGGTAAATAAAGTGGTCCATTACAACAATACAACTTTTTTTTTTTATATATGATTAAATCAGTTAATTTTTATTTTCAGATTGATAATCAAAAAATTTTAATTGAAAGTTTGTTAGCTAAGAGGCAGGAGGAAAACGAGCTGTACAAGTTGAAAAAAGAAAAGCTTTTATTAAAAATTGAGAAATTGAAAAAATCAGAATAGACTAATCATAAAAAAGTATGTAATATAAATTATTATATATTCATATATAATACTATATTATATTTTATTCTAATTCATAATATCAATTGTTATTTGTTATTATTGTAATTTATTTAAAATTTTAAATACTACTTTATTATTATTTAAAATATATATATACCTAAACATATTATATTTTTAAAGAAAAAATTTAATTAAAAACTTATAACACCTATTTTAATACTATTTGTATATTTAATATTATTTAAGAAAAGTGTCTGATAATGTATCCTCTCCTAGCAGCAGCACCAATGATTTCTCCGTTGAGATTATTATCTCTAAAAGGATCGTCAAGTTCATTATCATTGTCATCTATATTAAGTAATCTTAATTTTAAACATATGTTGTATAAAACAGCACAAGCTACAATAATTGAAACTGCCGTCAGTGTGGAGTTTTCTAGACCTCTCCTTAAGCAAGGAAATTTTCTTTTCCACGGTACCGAAAACTCGTTATATAATATTCCTCGTTTTAATTTGTGCTTTGTTGTAGTTTTTTTCTGAATTGGTAATAGGATTTAGAAGTGGAGTGAAAAGATATGGTTTATAAGCATAACCTATAAAGTATAAACATTAAATAGGTAAAACTGTATTGTACGTATATTATAGGTCTACTGTCTACTGTATAAAAATAAAATATACCGTATTGGACGGATAAACGGCCGCGAAGTTAACGTGTTGCTTGACACGGGCTGCCATCATGTGCTGATCAAGGCGAGTGTCGCCGTGAGTTGTGGGCTTTCCATCAAGCCTGTGGACAAGCCCCTGTATTGGCTTGGCAACACGACAGTTCCGTCCGTGCGAACGGTTGGTATGACGCGAGCGTCCGTTGCTGTCGACGAAGTGTGTCCAGGGACGGTGACGATGCTAGTCGTAAGCGACACGGTACAAGTCCCTGATGTAATCGTTGGACGAGCTTGGCTAGACTTACCAAGAGTCGCTTATCACAAGTCCGGCGGGAGACTGCATTTATATGAAGCCGAACCTTGTGATGGTGAGACTGAAGTTGGAGTAGACATGTCGGGAAACGAAGCTGACTACCTACATGCCGTCGAAGTGGACGCCCTCCCGGTTAAGGAGCCATTGAGTGTCGCTGCCTTCGGGTATGTAAATCCAGGGTTGACAGATGATGACGAGAAAGGATTGTTAGAACTATTCAATGAATATCGTGAATGTTTTGCGAAGAATTTGAGTGAGCTCGGATGTACGCCGTTGATGACGGTGGACATGAATGAAATGCCGAACAGTCGGCCGGTGGTTTGTAGACCATACAAGACGACACGCGCTGACCGCGAGGAGATCGCCAAGATTATACGCGATTGGAAGCTAAGCGGAGTGGTAGTAGATACGGTTTCTCCCTACGCGAGCCCAGTGATGCTCGTGAAACAAAATGGTAAAAACAGGCTGTTCGACAGCACTATCCTCTGCCGGATATGTCAGAACAGCTTGGGGCGTTGGCTGCCGGGAAATTGTTCGTTCAGATGGATTTAGCGAGTGGATACCTACAAATACCACTAGCGTCGGAAGCTGCAGAAAAGACGGCATTTATCATCGCTGATACGACGGGCCAGTTTACTCGTATGCCGTTCGGACTGACAAGCGCTGTCGCCGAATTTACAAGGCTGATGCAGCATGTGTTAGGACCAATGCAAGGGAAGATAGTGCACAATTACCTCGATGATATGGTAATCGACGGTGCGGATTGGGCCGAACTGTTGAGCAAGCTGAGGTCCGTGTTGGAACGACTCAAGGTTGCGAGATTGACGTTGAAGCCGTCGAAATGTCTTTTTGGGACGGATAGTATCGAGTTCCTCGGGTTCGTAGTGGGTGGAGGTGAAATTAAGCCAGGACCGAGGAAAACGCGCGCGATTAACGAATACCCCATTCCCGAAGATGCTCACTCGGTGAGTTGGTTCCTTGGGTTGGCAAGTTTTTTTAGGCGGTTTATTCCAAAGTTTGCACTTATTGCCACGCCTCTCACTCGACTGACCCGAAAAGGAGAGAAGTTCTGTTGGGAAGAAGAACACGAAGATGCATTCCATAAGTTGCAGACAACTCTGGTGAGTGATATTGTGCTGACCTTGTTTAGATCCGATGCTGCCACGACGGAATTGCATACAGATGCCAGTGTAATTGGACTGGGTGCCATGTTGATGCAGTCGATGAGTTTGGGCGACCCGCTACGCGTTGTGTATTATGCTAGCAGGAAGACGAGCGATGCAGAAACAAGGTATCACTCGAGTAAGCTTGAACTTTTGTGTATGGTGTGATCCATTCATAAGTTGAGACAATTTTTGCTGGGCGTAAAGTTTGTTGTTTATACGGATTGCCAAGCATTGATGTACCTGAATAATTTTAAGAGTACCAATTCACAAGTCGCTCGCTGGCATGACTCATTACGGGAGTATGAGTATGAGGTCAAGTATCGACCCGGAGCTCGTATGAGTCATGTAGATGCATTGTCACGTGCACCGGTCTCGTCGGATGAACGAGAACTTGATGACGAGTTGGCCGAAAAATATGAAGTGTGTGTTCTCATGACGGAAGAGGAACGAGTGCTGATGTGCCAGACTGCTGATTCCGAAGTGGCCAGGTTGTTGGATACCGTCAAGGCCACTCCAGAAGCTGAAAATGACCAGTATAAAGTCGAGCAAGGACTGTTATACAGAAAGTATGGGGACCGGCTCCTGTCCGTCATGCACAAAGCGATGCGTAAGAGCTTGTTGGTGACGGCGCATGATCTGAGTGGCCACCCTGCTGTTGATCGTACATTATGTAACCTGCTCCAGGATTTCTGGTTTCCTGGAATGAGGAGGTATGTTAGGCAACATGTGCACATGTGTTTTGAGTGCCTGCTGGCGAAAAACCCGAGAGGTAAAAGGCCAGGGCTGCTGCACCCGATACCGGTGGGTCGACGCCCGTTCTAAATCGTTCACATGGACCACGTCGGACCTTTTTTAACGACCACCACTGGGAATAAGTATATTTTAGTGTTGGTGGATAATTTCACAAAGTTTGTTGTGTTGTTTGCAGTCCAGAGTACTACCGCGGAAGCTTTGCTGACCTGTGTCGGCCAGTTTGTAGAAGCGTATGGCTTGCCGAAGAAAATCATCACGGATCGTGGATCGTGCTATACTTCCAAGTAATTTGAAGAATACTGTCAGAACCAAGGCGTTCAGTTGGTGTTGGTCTCCTCGCGCCACCCAAGAGCCAACGGCCAAGTTGAAAGAGTTCACAGCGTGGTCATGGCTGCGCTGGTGACTGAGGGCGGTGAACCTGACAGCTGGGACCAAGGTTTGCTGGGAATACAGCGCTATATAAACAATAGCGAGAGCAAGGTGACGTCGAAGACGCCTTTCGAGTTGTTACACGAGTATAGGCCAAGGTTCCGGCTTGGGACACTTAGAGCTATTTCAAAAACGGCGGATAAGTGGACGATGCCAGAGGAGTTGTGGCAAGAGGCCCGAGAGCAGATAGAGAGGTCCAAGCTGAAGTCTAAATCTGCCTTTGATAAGCACCGTCATGACAACATTAATTACTCCGTGGGAGAAGTTGTCGTCATGAAGAGATGCCCTACCGCCACCGGAGAGTCCACTAAATTACAGGAACGTTATCGAGGTCCCCTGGTCTTGACGGAGAAATTGCCAGGTGATGTTTATCGAGTGGTTGAGTTAAACAAGAACAAGAGGAGTCGATTCGCCACTACCGATCATGTTGTTCAGCTTAAGCCGTGGAAGCTTTATGATGAAGAAGGTGAAGAGTCGGATGCCAATGAAGAGGATGACGAGTCTGCAGTCAACCAAGATGAAGAGGGTGAGGTGGAACCTAGAGAGGTATTAGGCAGGCCTGTTAGGGAAAAGCGCCCCCCCGGTTGGGCTCGGGGTTATGTTTAAATTCGCCCAAATAGTTTGTTTGTTTTGTATTAATATTAATTTTTTTTTTGTGTAAGAAATGTCAGAATTGATGTAAGCATTTGTTACTAACTTTGTATTATTTATGGTTGTGTTAGCTGCTGCATCCTCGCATGAGATGATGTGGATGCGGAAGAATGTATTTTACCATGTTAAATTTATTTTGTATGTTTATTATAGTCTGTGATGTGTTCAAAAGTCTGAGCTTGATTAGACTGATAAAATTGTATTATGTTGTTTAATTTTTTATTAATTGTATAATTCTATGAAATGTTGAATGATATTAGTTGTAAATTGAATTGTTGAAAAAAAAGTGTATTTTAAATGTAATTGTAAAGAAAAGAAAAAATTGTAACTGTTGAGGACAACAGTCCTGAGCAGGAAGGCCGAGTGTAAACTCCGTCAGATGGCGTGGCGTGTGGCCGGCGCTGTCTCGGAAAGTTTGCACTAGGTATTAGTATTCTAGTGGCAAGCGATGCGAGCGGTGACCTGCGCTGTTTATGCGAGGTCAACCTGGTGCTTATTCAATAAAATCGATCATTTTAATTAAATAAGTTGTTGTTATTTCCTACGAGAGTTAACAGGTCCGCCGTCTAGTTAATATATCTATCTCAATGTGGTCCACTTATTATTTTATAAAGGTAAGATAGTAATTGTATACTAGCCGTAATAACATTTGACAACTAGACAACTGCTTCAGTGCAGTTTCGTTTACTTTCGAGTCGAAGTGTTTGAGTGCGTTTTTCGACAGTAATTTTGTATTAAATATTGTTGACGATTTTACTATTTTGGTAAATTTAAGTAAAATCATGGAATTCAAAATCATAGAAAGTAAACGAGGTCGAGGATGTCGTATGGCAGTGTATAATAAATTTAAATATAACTTTGGATCAACAAGTAAAAAGGACGGCTCTACCCGTTGGAGATGTGTTACGAGAACTTGTAGTGCACTAATATACTCAGACAAGAATGATTTTTTTCTTTCAACAACTGGAGAACATAAGTAGTAAGTGGGTCCATAGAGGCGACACGCCACCGCCACCGCCACACACCACCACCGCCACCCGCCACACATACCCAAGCCGTCCGCCACGGCCACCAGTAGCACCTACCCCCGACCGAACCCTCCACCGCTGACACCCTACCCCCGGCCTACCCCCTCCACCGCTGACACCCAGCCACCCGGCAGACCGCTGCTGACACTGCCCACCCCCGACCGTACCCTCCACCCTGGCCGCCTATACTCCTACCACATTACCCTGTATCATATAAAGCGCTACATCCGCATACACGATTAGAGATGGGCAATACGGGTCAATTGAACGATTCGGTTCGTTTGGATCGGGTCATTGAAAAGACCCGTTCATATGATTCGTTCATTTCGTTCATTTCGTTCGTTGAACGACGAACGTATTATAAACATAACGTCTATTGCATTAAACAAAGATCCAATCTTATCATACGATTCTCGTTCATTGAATGATGAACGATGAACGTATTATAAATATAACGACTATTGTGTAAAATAAAGATCTGGTCCTATCAGTCATAAATTGACTGATAATATGACTCATAATATCATAGGCACCATCGCGTTCATTTAGTAAACTTGAACGAATTGGAATATTTTATTGATTTTAAATGTTTCGTGATAATAGTCATAACTCATAATCAAATTTTGAAATGGTTATTGAATTAAATATCAGGGCCGGCTCAATGTGGTAGCAAAATAGGCAGCCGCCTAGGGCGGCACTAGTGTGGGGGCGGCAAATTTCAAATGAACCAAAGTGATTTAATTATTATAAATTATAATATAATATAGTCTGCTGAATTGTATGTTCATTACTCAAATATACAAAAAAAGTTTACCGAGAACGCACTAAAGTCGTAATACTGCATGAATATAAATAGAACGGCGATAACAATACATGCATAAGTCGACCACAGACGAATGCACGTTCTTATCGAGTTTAAAATTATTATTTAATTGGAAAATAATTGTCAATGACACAACGGCATTTAGTCCCGGACTTTCAGCCGCCCGCCGAACACGTAAATAATTTTTGCCGTAGAGGGATAGTGATAGTAGACCAAGTGCGTGAACGTGTACAATTTTTATTAAAATAAATTTATAACTGCAACACTTAATTGGTATTAATTTTGTTAAATTATCACTAGAGCGCGGATTTATATGCATTTAAAAAGTGTCAAATATGATGCAAATATGCAAAGAAAAAGTGGCTAAATATGCAATTATATGCATTATGTTACACTTTATAAAATTTTGTTTTTTTTTTAAAAAAAACCACACTACTACACCAAAGAAAATTCTAAAAATGTTAACAAAAACAAAAAAAAAATGATTATATCCACTGCTCTGTATTTCAAATCATTTAAATCAATCGAAAACATTTAGGAAACTTAAAAAAGAGAATACAAATAAAAAAACAACTAAAATCATACATAAATATTTTAGATCATTTAAAGTTACTCTTAAAAAACTAATGGAGAACTTAAAAAAAAAATACAAATCTTTCAATATAACATTTTTGAAAATTTAAATATTTTAAACATTTTACATTAATAATATAAATTTTAAAACTTGTCAGAACAACACTAAAAATTTTTTGTTACAACGCACTTGCCGGTCACAAACTTGACAATAAATTACTAATCCACTAGTGGTAAACACAGTTTTGTCGCGATTATAAGGCTCAATCCATCGAGTTATGGATGAACCCAAATTAGATTTAGTTTTTGGCATTTTGTCTTTGTTTTTAAAACGGGATAAACAAGCACTACAGCGGACAAACACGTTGACGTACGAAACTACGTAGATGGTCGATGACTGCGTATTAATTAATTGTCGTCGTGCCGGGTGGTGGTTATTATCACCGGTCGACATATTTCTGTCGGCCGGGAATTTCCGACTATTAGATTATTATTAGCGACTTTATTCGGGACGCGAGTGTGTACGTAGTACGTACTACGTATGTTTTTTAATACCTATCATATCTATTCATGCTCCGATCTCATACAGTGAGGCAATTCCAAAATTTATTGTAAAATATAATTATTTATTTATTAAAAACCTATTAAATATGCATGTCATATGCATTTATGAACAAATATGCAAAAACCCTCGAAATATGCAAAATATGCAATATAAAATTTGGTGTTTAAAATCGGTGTGGTATGAAACGTGGACATTTTAAACCCCCATAGACGTGCATACACTTAGTACGAACATGCAAATGCATATAAATCCGGGCTCTAATTATCACGTTAATATTTATTGAATATGTCAGAGCAAAAACGTATACGGTTATCAGGAGCTGCATATCGAAAACAAAAATTAAAACGTGATGAAGAAATTAAAAAAAACTCTGGTTCCTTTGAAAAATATTTGAAAAAAAATAATGAAGTTTTAAATAATCCAGAAACACATTCTAAAATTATTTCAGAAGAACCAAATACCTTAGAAGTTACTGACAGTTTAAAAGAAGTTGGTAACTCAGAACAAATTTCCGATAGCATTGACATTTTCAATAATGAAATAAACATAACGTTGGAAGAAAATGCGAGTATTAAATCTAATGAAAATGAAAATAACATATCTGACCCCGGGACATGGCCAGCGATTTTTTCAAATTCATTACGACTTCAATTAGTAAAAACAGGTCCCATTAAACCAAATAAAGATTTTAAATATCCTAGAGATGCGTTAAATCGACGGTTTCCAATTTCAATTTTAAGTAAAGAATTAAAAAATGGTGAAGTTATAGAACGTACGTGGTTAATTTATTCTGTTAAAAATGATGTTGTGTACTGTTTTTGTTGTAAAATATTTAGTAGTGAAAATTATGCATTGACTAAATTTGGCTGTAATGATTGGAAAAACGTACACAATATAGTTAAAGAACATGAAACATGCAAAATACATTTTAATTCTTTAAAAAAATGGATGGAACTGTCTGCTAGATTAAATAGCAATCAAACCATAGATGCTGCCCATCAACGTGTATTAAATAATGAAACTCGGCATTGGCAAAATGTACTTGAGCGTTTAATGGCAATCGTTGAATTTCTTGGTAAACAATGTTTACCTTTTCGAGGTACAAACGATATTCTTTACGAAAACAATAATGGCAATTTTCTCGGACTAGTACAGCTGCTGGCAAAATTTGATAGTGTTTTATCAGAACATGTTCGTAGAATTCAAAATAAGGAGATTCATAATCATTATCTAGGTAAGGGGATTCAAAATGAAATTATACATTTACTTTCTCGAGCAATTAAAAATAAAATACTTGAAAAGTTAAAAAATGCTAAGTATTATTCAATAATTGTAGATTGTACTCCCGATAAAAGTAGAGTAGAACAAATGTCAATAACTATATGGTTTGTTGATATTAACCGAGATACAAAAAAAATAGATATTTGTGAACATTTTCTTGGGTTTATTCCGGTTGATATTACCACAGGTCAAGAACTTACAAATGCAATATTGTCAGAATTAAAAATAAATAAAATTCCAATACAGGATATGCGAGGACAAGGTTATGATAATGGCTCAAACATGAAAGGTCGTAATTCTGGTGTACAAAAAAAAATTTTAGATATAAATAGTCGTGCTTTTTTTGTACCATGTCATGCTCACACACTAAATTTAGTTGTAAATGATACTGCTAAATCATCAACTGGAGCAAGCAAATTTTTTATTCAAATTCAAGCTATATTTGTATTTTTAAGTGGTTCTACTCGTCGATGGGCCGTTTTAAAAAAACATATAACACAATTAACTTTAAAGCCATTAAGTGAAACTAGATGGGAGAGTAGAATAGATGCTATTAGACCATTCAGATATCAAACAGGTGAAATATTTGATGCATTATACGAAATAAGTCAGGATATATCTTTTGATCAAATTACCCGATTAGAAGCTGAATCTTTAGCTAAAAAAATAAAAAATTTTAACTTTGTGTGTTGCGTTGTAATTTGGCATTCAATTTTAAATCAAATAAATCTAGCAAGTAAAGTGTTACAGAAAGTAACATTAGATATATCTGGCGCAGAAAATATTTTATCTGAAACAATTAATTTTTTGAAAAAAATTCGATGTGATGAGAGTTTTGATAAATTCTTAAGAGATGCTGAAACCATAGCTCTTGAATTGGATATTGAGGCTTCTTTTAGGCAACAAACTTCTATACGCCCACGAAAAAAGAAAACTGTGTTCTTTTCTTATGAACAACCAGATGAACCCATAATTAATTTAAAAACTAAATTTAAAGTTGAATTATACTTTTATATATTAGACGTAGCTCTCAATTCTCTCGAAGAAAGATTTGAACAATTACATAACCACTGCGATAACTTTAAATTTTTGTATGATATAAGTAGTCTAAAAAGTATAACGAAAAATAACATTGTGAAAAATTGTATGGATCTTCAATTGCTACTATCAGAAAATGAAAATGTTAGTAATTCAGATATTGATGCTATAGAAATGACAGATGAGTTAGTAGCAATATCTGAGTTATTAAAACCCAACAGTACTCCATTAGAAGTGTTACAGTTTATTGTAAACAATAACAATTTTGTACCAAATGTAGCTGTAGCACTTCGAATTATTTTAACTATGCCCGTGTCGGTCGCATCTGGTGAACGGAGCTTTTCAAAATTAAAAATAATTTAAAACTATTTGAGGTCTTCTATGAATCAAGAAAGGTTAAGTGATCTTGCTACAATTTCTATTGAAAAAGAAGTAATGGAAAATCTGGAGTTCAAAAATTTACTGATTGATTTTGCCCAAGAAAAGGCTCGCAAAATTAATTTTATTTAATATATTTTTTTTTTTTTTGTTATATATTTTTTAATGTTAAATTAAATACATATTTTTTATCTATGATAACGATAATGAATGTATAACAATGGTCAAAAATATTACTTGTTCTATTTTATACCCAACATTTATTTTAATTTTATTATTATTATTTTATATTTTGTAAAGAAAACTTAGGTCAGTCAAAACATTTTATTTTTTTTTAATTAAACAAGGGTTCATAGATAAAAATGAATGTCCTTATTTTATCAATACACTCCTCTCCAAAAAAATAACTATTGCATAGGGCAGCTTAAATCAGATTTGCCTAGGACGGCAAAAAACCTACGGCCGGCCCTGTTAAATATTATCTAGTTATGAGAATAAAGAGGTTCAAATGTTTTTTAACTGCTCACTAGAAGTCTTTTTTTAAATAATAAATTATGCTTTCTCGTATTGTTTTTTTGTGGGATTACATTGTTTAGATGAATAAAGAACTTTGTAAAAAGTTATATCAATAAATCTATAATTATTTTTATATTGTGTTACCCTGAAAATAAGTACTGTATACTCGCGCCGGCGAGAGAACGCTTCTCGTTTGCGCATCCAAATGACAGAGCTCCGCGGTTTCGTACCCACATTTCTCCCACTCTACCACCTAGGCGCCGCCGTAAATCTCCCACTCGTTACGCGTGACCAGCGGCAAATGTCACGGCCGCCGTCTGTATACACCGGCTCAAGTAACACGAGAATAAATTAATAGCTGGCTATTGGGGCACCAGCTATTATGTATTTAATAACAATGCAAATAATATGTATGTAATATCATATTTTATTTATATATACCAACAACATAATACATTGTTATATTACATAATACACTTTATAATATTAACTTACTAAAAAATATTCAAATACAAAAAAATTAAAATAGTTCAAGTAAAAAATACAAAAAAAATCAAAATAGTTCAAAATCGTTCAGATTATTCAAATACAAAAAAATATCAAAATAGTTGATATGCAAAAAAATTAAAAAGGTAAAAATACAAAAAAAATCAAAATAATTCAAATAAAAAATACAAAAAAATACAAAAAAAATCAAAATAGTTCAAAATCGTTCAGATTATTCAAATACAAAAAAATATCAAAATAGTTGATATGCAAAAAAATTAAAAAGGTAAAAATACAAAAAAAATCAAAATAATTCAAATAAAAAATATAAAAAAAATCAAAAGAGTTCAAAATCGTTCAGATTATTCAAATACAAAAAAATATCAAAATAGTTGATATGCAAAAAAATTAAAAAGGTAAAAATACAAAAAAAATCAAAATAATTCAAATAAAAAATACAAAAAAATACAAAAAAAATCAAAATAGTTCAAAATCGTTCAGATTATTCAAATACAAAAAAATATCAAAATAGTTGATATGCAAAAAAATTAAAAAGGTAAAAATACAAAAAAATCAAAATAATTCAAGTAAAAAATACAAAAAAAATCAAAATAGTTCAAAATCGTTCAGATTATTCAAATACAAAAAAATATCAAAATAGTTGATATACAAAAAAATTAAAATGGTAAAAATACAAAAAAATCAAAATAATTCAAGTACAAAATAATCAAAATATAAAAAAAATCAAAATAGTTTAAATACAAAAAAAAAATCAATCGGAGTCACAATCAGAAGAACTTGTATCTCCTGTTCCTATAGTGAGAACATGACGTTCATCGTCTTCGGGTAGCTCGTCCATTAATTCGTCGGTAATATGTTCCAAGTCCCAAAACTTGTCTTCCACCTTTTTAACATGTTCAATAAAATTTTTCCACATATCCGGACTTACGTGTTCCACACCTTTTTTTAACAATTCCATTACGTCCTTTAATTTGAAGGTGTTGTTATGCGTCCGGACATAACTTTTCACGGACGACCAGGCGAGCTCGATAGGATTTAGCTCGCAGTGATATGGAGGTAATCGCAATACGAGTGTTCCGTTATCTTTTGCGTACTCATCGATTACGTATGTGTCGTGATGTTTTTTTATTTTGTAAACTTTTTTCATTAAATCATTTTTAACAATAGGATGAGTAACGATCACACCTTTACTCTCAAGCCAATCAATTATAGCTTGTTTTTTCCAAGACCTCACTGGTATTTTCTGTTTTTTTACGGAATGGTATGAAGCATTATCCATGACGATGATGGCGTTCGGTTTAAGTAATGGCAGGGTCTTAACAAACCATTCGTAAAACGTATCGCCATTCATTTCGTCATGGTAATCCGCAGAATTGGTCTTGGATTCGAAACACAAAAGGCCCCCCGGAACAAAACCGTCTGACGACCCGATGTGTAATACAATGAGACGCTTACCTTTGCCGGAGGGTGCCTTTTGTCCTGTGGTGAGACCTCTCAGGTGTGCATCTCGTGTTGATGCGACTGTTGTATCTACCCACGTTCTGCTATGCGTCTCGCCTGCATTGACCCACGTCTCATCTAAGTAATATATTGGCCTGTTCTGTGCTCGGTAATGCCTTATTTTCAACACATAATTTCAGCGCCAAGATATCAAATCTTCTCTTTCGAGAAGAGCACTGTTGCGGTTTCTCTTGACGTACTCAAATTGTAAATCTTTTAATATTAATTGGAAAGACGTACGTTTCAGATTCGGTAATGAGTCGTCTTCATTGATGGCAATTAACATTTTTGAAATTGTTGGCACCTCACGGTTTCTCCAAAAATTGTGAATTTTTTGCCTTATGGCATTTTTGTCGAATTCGTCCACTTTTTGAAGTACCGTAGGTCTCACTTTTTTTTTATTGGGCGATGACACTGTACCTTCCTTTTTATATTCTCCCAATGTAGTTTGAATTGTACGTTGCCCAATACCAGTGGTTTTTGAAATGCTAACGATAAGCTCCCTGAACGACAATTTGGGCATCTCTGGATTTTCGAGCTGTTGTTTGATTTTATCCTTGTACACATTAATAATTATATTCTTTTGACCAGTGCCAACGAACTAAAAAAAATATATATATTTAAAAATTAAAAATTTGCAAATATAATAAAATTTAAAACAAAATAAATTAACTTAATTTACTTTTTAAAATGAAAAATTAATTCGTTAATTTCACGTTTAGGAAGTAAGTTAACAGTTAAGTTAATGAAAAGCCAAAAGTAACTAGTTAAGTTAAAAAGTTATAATAAAATTAACTTTTTAACTTTTTAACTCGTTAATGCCCATCCGTGAAAAATAGTAAAGAAACACTTACTTTTCCTTTTGGATTTTTTTTGCATGGAGAAATATTTGCGACGTCTTCCATGTTGTCCATGTTATTCGTATAATAAAACAATTACGTATTTAAACACGAAAAAAATGTATGTGCGCAAAAATGAAAATTTTATGTATGTAGGTATACGTAAACGCGTAATATTATGGTAACACTATTATAGTACACGCTGTATACAAACACTGACACAGTTTCAAGGGCAGCGGCGGTGACGGCGGCGGCGACGGTAGCGGCGACGGTGGCGGCGGCCAGAGTTGACGGCGGCCAGCGTTCGGGAAGGTTAGGTGGTGGGAATGCGCGAGATCGGACGAATTTTGGTCGCCGCCCAAAAGCGTTCTCTCGCCGGCGCGAGTATAGTACACTCATACTAATATAAGTAATTAAGTAAATAATAAACAAAGTTATACTTGAATATTAATTTAAGTATGTCTGCATAAAAATTAAATATAGGTACTCAGTAAAAAAAATTAAAAATAAGTAATCCATCAAAAATGGAATATATATATACAGTCAATTCAATTATTGTTGTAATACGTTGAATTAAAGTTAGTATTCAAATTCAAAAAAAGGTAAAATAAGTGTAAAATTACTATAATCATTGATTATATATACAATTGATTTATAATATTTACAATCAATGGTATAATGTAAGAACTTGGATGTTGGTATATTGATCATTAAAATGATGCTGAGTTTAACAACTAAATATTTAAAATACTAAGTTTGACATAGATCAAATTAAATATACTTTATTTCAATTAAAATAATAATACTGTAATTTAACATTCAGTATTTAGTGTATATTAAATCCTTTCATAACATAAACCTGCAAAAACAAAAACCAAACTTGCTTCAGCATGTTACAACTTGCAAGACTATTGAAATGTATATTATGCAATATGAATTTATCTCATTAACAAATCGATATTGCCTTTGTAAGCATGTCAAGTTTTTTTCATAAAAATTGAATTGTATTCTGTTTTTATTGATTGGTGATCATTTTATTTCTGTGTTTTAAATTATTAAATTTTTAAAGTTATCATTTAAAAAAATTGCTATTCTACAATTTTTTTAAATTTAATTATCTTAATAATTGGTTTATGATAATTAATAAACAGGTAAGTCTTAAATCACTTTAATTTATATAAATACCATCTTTTAAAAATTATTAGAAAATATATTTATTACAATTATACAATTAGAATAAACATGGCTTCCACAACAAATCAATTGTACAAAAAACGTAGCAATGTGTGGAATCATTTCACACTTACAAATGGGAATATGGAAAAATGCAATTATTGTAATGAAAAAAAAAGTTTTTCTGGAGGATCAACAGGCAATCTTTTAAGGCACATGAAGACAAAGCATGTCACAGTTCCACTGCAAAGATCAACACCACAGGTACACATTTTATAATTTAATAACACTAAAAATTAATTTTAAGAGTATAAAAAATAATATCCACTGCATAGGTATTAACAATATTTTAATTTTGTCATTCTGTAAATGTGTTAAGTAACGTATAAAATTTAATTATTTATAAAATAAACTTAACATTTTAAAAATTGTGGTATAAATTATAATATAAATAAATAATAACATAACATTCAAGCTTGTCACGCTTAAATATTATATTTATTAATAAAAATTCACAAACAAAAAAATTATAAAACTAATAAAATAAAATGTAAATATAAAAATTATTGTTGGTTGTTTTTAGGTAGCAGAGGAATCAAACTCTGAGTACCTTGACAATCCACAACCATCGACATCCACTTCTCAATCGACATCTGCAATAGTTCATTCTTCTATAACATCTTCGTCTTCAATAGTTCAAAACAAAAATAATTATCAATCATCTATAGCAAATTTCATTCATCGACCACTGCCATTATGTAAATCTATATCAATTGACCATCAATTAATAAAAATGATAGTAAAAGAATATCACCCCTTTAGCATAGTCGAAGATAAAGAGTTCAGAAAATTATTGAATATGCTGTCCCCTAATTACATAATTCCTTCCAGAAAAACAGTTTCTAATAGTTTATTGCCCCAAATGTATGAGATGGTTGTCCAAAGAGTAAAAGATAAATTAAAAAATGTATCTGCAGTATGTCTTACCACTGATGGATGGACATCAAGGAATAATGAAAGTTTTTTGGCAGTAACTGCTCATTTCATAGATCCAGATAATGTCACTGAATTATCTTCAGTTTTGTTAGCATGTACTAGTTTTGGAGAAAGTCATACAGCTGATAATTTAGCTTCATTTTTGAAAACTACCGTAGATGAGTGGGGATTGAGTCAGCGTATAACTGTTGTAGTATCAGACAATGCTGCAAATATTAAAAGTGCAATTGAAAAATGCAATTGGAGACGGTTGTCATGTTTTGCGCATGATATCAATTTGATTGTCCATTGTGGATTGGGTGAGATTGAGCCTGTTATAACAAAAATTAAAGACATTGTATCTTACTTTAAAAGAAGTTCTCATGCATTAGCTAAATTGCAGGAATATCAAAAACAAACCGGGAATCCAATCTTAAAGTTGAAACAAGATTGCCCAACACGATGGAACTTTTGATATGTTCGATAGAATATTGAGAATAAAGGAGCCAATAATTGCAACATTGGCCATTTTAAACAACACCGAATTAAATTCACTTACTCCAAATGAATGGAAAGTTGTAGATAAATCAAAAGAGTTGTTGAAAATTTTTTATGATGTCACTGTTGAAATAAGTGCAGAAAAAAATATTTCAATATCAAAAAAAATAATTATGGTAAGAGCTATGTTTAAAGTTACACATACATTTATAAATGACATAGATATACCCAGAGAAGTTCTGAATATGGCCAAGACTTTAAAAGAAAAGTTGATGATTAGGTTTGACAGAATTGAAGACAATTTACTCAATGCTCAAGCTACAATTCTAGATCCTAGATTCAAGAAACATGGATTTATTAATGAGGACAAATATAATAGGAGTATATCCCAACTTCGTAATAAATTACAAAGCAGCATAAGAACAGAGCAGTTAGATTTACCTCAACAATCATCTTCTTCAGCACCTCAGTATTCCAACTCGGCAATCTGGGGAGATTTTGACAAGTCTGTGGTTAATGCTATCGGTGGAAATAATTCTACAGCAGCAGGCATAATTGAGCTAGACAAATATTTGAATGAACAAATTATCAGTAGACATGAAAATCCACTACTCTGGTGGTCAGAGCGACAAAAAGTTTACCCACGACTCTATGAAATAGTTAAAACTCGTCTTTGTATCATAGCCACATCCGTTCCATGTGAAAGGTTATTTTCAAAGGCAGGACAGGTAATTACAGACCGTAGAAATAGGCTTGAATCAAAAAAAATATCGAAGATTTTGTTTTTAAACTATAATATGTAATTTTCAACATATTACATATTATTATTATTATTATTACACATAATATAATTTGTTTATTAATTATAAGGAAATGTTAAAATGTAAAATGACCAACAATTAAACGTCAATCAAGTAATTTAAAAAGTAAGTATGTACTTAAGCAAAATAAATATTTAACTGTTTATTTTTACCATGAGGTATTTTAATTTTTAGATAAATAAATCAAATTAAAATTATTATATTATACCTATTACTATATCAATCATGTTATACAGTACAAAAATAATTTATATTACCTGTATGAATTTTAAAAATTATTTATTATAATTTTAAATAAATTATTATAATATCAATGCTTAAGGCACAATGTATATTTAATAAATTATAACTTAGGTACCTGTTAGTTGTTACATCCAAATTTCAATCAATTGTATTTTATTACTTATTAGTTATTACCACAGTATAGATTTAATATTTTAATGTATTCTGTGTTATTACAAAGCTTTTAAAGGCTAATAGGACAAGTATCACGAATCACGAGTAATATCTACTTATAAAGTAATGGTAAAGCCCGAGGTAGGTACCTATAGGCTATAAAGATATTAGATAATATAATAATGTTAATGTTTGATTAACTGATTATTGTTTATTAAAGTTTGTGTGTACTGTGTGTTATTATATTATTGTGTCATGGTCATAGACATAAATACAACAAATAATAATATGTAAAATGTTTTATCAAAAATCCTCAATGGCTGGTCATAGATATGAAGCTTGTATTATTACTATTATTTGATATAATATAATCAATTATGATTATTGTTTTTGTGATCACGGACAAGACTATAGATAAACTAAATCGCGGTTTAAAAATATCATAGAGTGAAATGTGATTACCGATTACCTAATGAGTTCGGATCACTCATTATTAAGAATTTTGAGTTGGTAGCAGTGCAATCCAAACGAGAACGAAACTGAACGAATGAACGAACGAACGACTTTTTATTATTTCACGATCCGGATTGTTTCATTCACAAGTTTGACCCGTTCAATTTGATCCGTTCGTTCGCGAACGACACATCTCTAAACACGATATTCAGTCGCAGTTTTCCTTTCATAGTGACAAGTTGTAACACAGTGTATAAAAATGGCTTCAAGCAGTGAACGGGTATACAAATATATTGCGCCTGCACCACCGGCCGAACTCATCGACTGTACCAACTACACAATCGATTTTGTAAATCACAAGTTTTTACAACTCGGCATCGATCCTACACAGCAGTTCAATGTTTGTGTACGTATAATTACTTCGTCGAGTTATGTAAACATTTCCGTGGACTTTTTGAAACGTATATATTCATTGATGGGTCAAATTCTATCTTATATACTGGATACTACAGTAAAATACAAAAGATTTATTTTCCTGGAGAATGAATTTGTTTTGGTTACGTCTATGATATATAGAGGAGAGTGTATGTTAGTGATAGAATCCAAAGTTGAACAAGGATGTAGAATTTTATTAAGTCCGAAAGAACTAATGGCAATTCAAAACATGGAGTGGACTATTTTCGAAACCGTAAACAGAAAAACGATGACCGTGAGACCAATGATTCTATTACAACTTGATCAGATAACTGAATATTTTAAAAATGATTATAATATTGAAAAAGATGCGACCCTCGAAGACGTTGTAGCAATAATCAAAGGAATTCATATTGAATTAATATCTACACATGTACCGAAGAACAAACATAGTTTTATAAATCAGATAAAACTGCTCGCAACTGACCAACTAGCAAGCAGTTGGATGGAGAAACTCGATAAATCATTAAAAGTATGAATACATGATTTTTATTTATTTTAATTATACTAAAATATCTTTTCAATTAGGGAGTCAAAGAAAATTACGGTCCGGAAGATTTCTTCTCACCTCCGTTTACTCAATTGCATCGTCCATGCAAACAGCCAAAGAAGACGGTAATTTAAAAAATAATAATAATAATAATATTAATAATAAATAATAAATATACTTAATTATCAGGTGAACGATGAATACGATGGACCCGGGGCGGCCAGAGACGAAACAACAAATTTAAAAGTAAAGAAAATTTATAACCATTAAAATCATTATAATGAATATAATTGTATTCATTTTTTAGGATTTTTTCGAGACATATGATCAGGTCATCGATGAACCCGACAAGATAGCAGACGAAAACAATTGTTTTACTCAATATTTGTTTTGATATGTAATATTTAAAAATAAAATCTTTTTTCTCTATATCATATGTTTTTTTACATGAAAAGGGAGGTACCACTCATCTCCGATCTAAATATCTCCCACCCCCGAGTATAGAGTAGGGATAATCCCCACTCTAAACGAGCGATCGGGTAGCACTGTTTAAAAGGGTGACACAGACTTTTTTCAAGACAGTCGTGAGTGTTCCGTCAAACGAGTCGTGTGCGTACCCGATTACTAACTTATTTCGAGACAGTTGTGAGCGTATCTAACAAAAATGGCTAATAATCTGATCGATTGTACTACATTCTTTGTTGATAGCAATATTTTTATAAATATAGGATTAGATCCTGATTTTTTGTTTAATTACGTTATATGCATCTCAAATAACTCGCAGTGTGTTAAAATGAGTGTTGAATTCTATAAATCTCTAATTAATATAGCTCTTAACTACATCAATTTTTCACTTCCATCTCATTTAATGCTGGAGGAGTTTAAATTGGCCTCAATAGATAAATACAACGGTGACAACGTTCTCTCGATAAAGTGTTTGCAAAAGGATCAACATAACAGAATGTTTCAAGGATCTTGCAATTAAATGATGCCGTGGAAGAAGTTATTCAGATGAAAAATATATACACACGACCTAGTGCATTAAGTCAGGCCTGTGATATTTCAAGGTATCTTGGAAAGGAAATGCCGTTACCCAAAGATACAAAAATAAGCAATGTTGAAGATTATTTATCCCGCATCGATGTCCAAGAATTGAAAAAAAAACTCAAGTTCACTGGCCTTTGCTTAATAGCAGATTTGAAAATGAAAGCAGTCAAACAATTGGCAATGGGATGGTTATCTTCTTCTGCCGAAACTGAGGTAATACAATTTTATATTTACATATTATTTTATACTAAAGAAACAAATTTTTTTTTAGTCTGAAGTAAACAGACCGATGACGAGGGCATTTGTAGCACGTGAAACCGCAAAAGCAGCCCGCAGATTAAGTTTTTGTTAATAATGTAATATTTTATTGTAATATGACATTTTATTATGTAATTTTCATATTTTTGTCGATAATTTAAAAACGCGAACCACTAATGTAATGTTTTATTGTAATATGACATTTTGTTATGTAATTTTCATATTTTTGTCGATAATTTAAAAACGCGAACCACTAATGTAATATTTTATTTTAATATGATATTGTATTATTATTATTATTATTATATAATAAAAACAAAAAAACATGATATTTTAAAAAAAGTATTTTTATTTTACAAACTATTTACAATTTCCTTACATCGCCATTAAATGGATTATTAGTTATAATTTGGTAGTGTAAGATACATGATATTTAAAAAAAAGTATTTTTATTTTACAAGCTATTTACAATTTTCTTACATCACCATTAAATGGATTATAAGTTATAATTTGGTCGTGTAAGATGAGACAATAAGCTGCAGTCTTTTCAGGAATGGCAATATCGGTCTCAAATTCAATACGCAGGTCCACGGTTGACGACTTCACATTGTCGTTTTGATGCGATAGATCGACAACGGCGATTGGTGCATGGTTTTGATAAGTATTTTTTGACAGTAACGGCTCGCAATAGTCTCTTTCGTAGTACGATTTTTGAAAATCTGTGTAAGCTTTATACAGTATCGAAGTTTGTTTGTTTTGGAAGTCTGCTCGGAAATCTTCATACGGATACGCTTCAGAATTTAAGTACAGTAGAACTCCGATTATCCGGACTAATTAATGTCAAGGGTGGTCCGGATAAGCAAATATCCGGATGATTGACGTATGACATTTTAAAAGTTATTTAGGGACATTGTAACACGAAAATTCACTCGTTATAATAATATAACAATTGACAGACTAAACTGTGTGATGATTAGACAACAACTGACCACTGGGGGGTGCATAGGGGACTTTTGCACCACCGAGTTAACAATTTGAACCCCCAAAATATAAAATACTTATATTTTGATTATTTTGAAGTAAATATTATCAATAAATACAAAAATGTTGTAAGTGGGTACTTCACTATTATGTTCCAACATTCCCAGCTATAACATTATAACATAATATTATGATATAATCTTTAGCTTAGGACCTTTTTTTTCGTCCGGTTAATTGGACATCCGTTTGATTGGCGTTCGGATAATCGGAGTTCTACTGTATACCTTAAGATTTTTCAATCTACAGTGGTCGAATAGGCCTGCATCATGTGTTATAGTATTTTTTCGATCTGTTTGAAATCCAATTAATACAAATCTAGGTTTTTCGAGTAAATTGCTAGACTTTACCGTCCACGAATGTGAAGTATTTTTAGGTAACACTGGATATTCACATAAATCCCAAGTTCTGAAAGCACACGATAACGTTTTACGAGAATCCAATATTTTTAACACTCTTAACTTTTCTTTATCACTAACTTTGATAATAGACATATTCCATAATATTTTAGTCAGTTCGACTGTAATTTTTTTATTTTTCTCGGAGTTATCAGTAACGTATAATGTGTCAAAATCTGTCGATGAACGATTCAAAATCAATTGTTGATTACAATTAAGTAATATTTTTTTGTAATCTTCAAAAAATCCAAATAGATGTTTCAGTGGAACTCAGCCGGTAAACACATTGTTGGTCATGAAATTTTTATTATTATCGTTACTACCCAACGACGACCCCCCAAGCTGCATTATCCAGTGTGTTCAAGTCGTTTGGAGTATATGAACAGTAACCTTTCAAACAAGACGAAATTCCTGGTGATTTAATTTTC